CTTTCATGATCCTTGCTTGATATCTGGTGTTATAGCGCCTCAGATTATTTGAAGATTGAGTTATTCTTGAACCTTGATTTTTCATAATTTTTAAGAATTAGGATGATTTATTATCATGCACTTTGAAAAAATATTTATGTATGAATGTATGAATGTATGAATGCATGAATGATGAATGCATGAATGTAATAAGGAGGATTTACTACATAATAATTGTTAACAAAGAAAATTTTCGTTGAATTAAAAGTTATTTCTAACCAAATTCAATATTATATCCATAAGAAATCTAAAGTTTATTGTGGAAAGAATCTCTAATTTGTTGATATTGGCCTTGCGTTTCATTAAAGAAAACTAGCAGCTCTTGACCATGTGCCCCCATTAGTGGCACCCTTGTCTTTCATTCTTCAACTTTTTTTACCATGTCCTTAACTTTGTAAGTAGCCATGGTAATGTGAACAAGCAAGCACTCCAACTGGTTATACTTTTTCACATATACCTCATTTGCTTGCTCACATTCTTAATTCACAACACCCATTTGTGTTTCAATTTCAACCATTACCCCACTAAGCATTTGGATGTGTTTTTGTGCTTTGGTGAGTGTTTTTTTTTTTTTTTTGCATCATTCCTTGCAATTGTCCATTTTCCTTGAAAAGTTAGGCTAACTCACGATTGGTGGATGATTGTGTGATGCTGAGATAAAAAAAAAAAAGAAGACTCTTCCATTCATCCCTTTCTTGCTTGAGTGTTTTAACCTTTTTGTGCATTCTTCCCTTTAACTCCTTTTTTAGCATTTTATTTTCAAGTTTCAATTCATCTTCTTCAACTTGGAGCTTTCTTTTAATGGATTTTATTACTAAAAAGAGATCAAGATGTGGTGATTTCATTGGGCCATTTAGAGTTTTTTCTTTAGGGATTTTAATGTCTTTACCTCACCTAATGCACAACACGAAGTACTCAATGGTAACTTAATTTGACGGTCTCTTTCTATTTTCCCTTTAAGATAAATTCCAAGCTTGCAGGGTTTCGACTATCTTTATGGAGGCATCAATTTCAACATATGAGAACTCTATTTTATTAAGTTCAGAAGTGGCTGGGATAAATTGTTTATAGCCATATTATATTTGCACCATGATGAGAGAATAACTCATTGCACGCCAAATGCCTAAGAAAGAAACCCAAAGCTTATCTTCACAACCATACAACACTGGTCCGTAAGGTATCTAAAGAGCTCTCCATATCACATCTTGACTAGTGAGCTTGCATAGAAATAAGATCTATGTTTTTTTGGATTTTTGTGTAGGCCATTTATTTTTACAAAATTCTTTGCTTGGAGTGCTTGTAGTGAAATATGGCTTACGAAATATACCACCATTATTTTCGATATGACTTTTTATTCAAATTGTTAACAATTAAGTGCATCCAGTAAAACACGTTTCTCTATTTTGACGACAATGATTTGTAGTTCTAATAGTCTCAGCCAAAATTACAGGAATAGGGTTGATTTGGTAACCAAGTTGATCAAAAAAATCCACCACTGTAATATAAATATAGCCAATTACTTTTGGAAATAGCATCATCCCATATAGAGACAATGCCATCAAATCCAATCCTCTTTCAGTGCAAAAATATTTGTATATAAAGTCATGAACAATGGACCAAGGAATACCAACACTTTTACCTTTTCCTTTTACCCAATTATCAACAATTTGGACATCTACGGCTATTATTTAAGCAAGTTTTTTTCAATAGCTAGTCTTTTTATATTTCTAATATACCTTAGTAGGATTTGAGAGATCTAAGCGGAGGAAAGTTAAATATTCTTCAATAGTTGGCACCATGTCAACCTCCTTAAACACAAAGCAACGATATAAAGGGTCTCAAAACTAAACCACGGTCCTAATAAGCTGATCATCAACAAGGACTAAAAGAAGTAATGCAAGGTCCCCAAACTTTTTTTGGAAAATCTTCTTAGTAGTGACACTTCATTGGTTCCAAATACTAACCAAATCGCTAAGATCATTTTGTTTGAGATTGAGATGGATTTTGACAGGTAGAGTAGTTACATAATTAGCTGGCAAACAATCACCTCCTTTAAGCTGAACTTTCTTGGACTTCATTCTCAGACACATAGGAAATTTTGATGGACTCTCCATAGATGTAATTAAGATTCTTTTTGTTAAGATTGTTTTGTAGCAATCATTCTTTATGTAAATCTAATGATGCATGCATGCACAATAACGTAGAATAAAAAAAGGTTAGTTGACATAATATAATATATGCAAGGAATAACAAAATATAAAAGGTTAGTATGCAAAAATATATACAAGGAATAACATAAATTTACAAGAATAATAATTGTCTCATCATATGCCCTATGTAAGTTTTTTCTAATTAAAGGGAATGCATAGCTCTAACCTAGGTTTGGATTCTTAGGGTTTATGTACATTCTAGGTTCAAAGGCTTAACAATCTAAAGGCTCTCAAATTGTTTTCTACATCATCGTCCATTATAGATTAGTAAGGCATTTCAATCTTTACCCACCATTAAAGGTTTAAATGAAAATGGTTCAATTTGAGTGAGAGTTTTCATTAGCTCACATGAAAGTTATCACCTCATAAGAGTGTAGGTACTTGCTCCCTCCTAATAAAGGATAAAACTAGGATATAGAGCTTATGCGTGAATATAAGTGTGGTGTGTGTAAAGAGAGCTATCGAGTAATCAAATAGATAGGTGTGAATAAAAAACAATATCTGCAAAACAAACAAATAAGAAATTACAAACAAATAGGTTAGTCCATATGAAAATCATAAATAATTATATAATAAAAACTATCAAAGCAAGGCTTATGATAACACATAAATAACTAATGGCTTCATTCTCTAATATCTCTAGTGGAGTCACCAAATTGTCATAACATCTAGATTGAGAGAATCTACCCATTAGACACAAAAATCATGGAGTCGCCATCGATATTTTTTAGTTAGGTATGATTAGCCACCTACGTGAGTCTATCCTTTTTAAGGTTATCCTAAGCCTAAGCTAAGGGTCCCTAAAAGGAATAGGTTATGGTTTACATTAACAGAACTAAAACTCAGGAGTTGGTTACGTGCAGAGAAGGTAATAGCATCCTTTTACGTCCAAAATTGGTATCAAATTAATTATGTGTTATCTAAATTAAGCCTTATCAAAGATAGTTTTATCATGCAAATAAATTAATTTCAATCTTTTTATTTATTTACTAAACATGGTGATATAAAAATTCTATCAAAATATCAAGCAATTATGCAATAAATATTAAATCATACGATGCAAAAATTATTATGCAAATATATTACAAATCATACAAAATATCATGTAATAATATCATGCCTATCATTCTAAAATACTCATGCAAGAATGTCATGCAAATATATTAATTATTATGCAATAATAATAATCATATAAATATATAATATCATGCAAACATATTATCATGCAATAATATAAAATACTAAGCAAATATATTAATAACTAGTAATGCAAATATATAATCATAAAATCAAATATAATCACACAAATATATTAGTAGTGATGTATAATCATGCAATTATGCACACAATAAATATAGAAACATTCAATTAAATATCATTCAGATATAATACTAATCATGTAATAACATATAATATCATATCATGCAATAAATATAAAATCATGCAATAATAATAAATAACTATGCAAATAAATATGTTAATAATCATATAATTACACAAATAAATAAATTAATAATCATGCAATTAACAATGTAAATCATGTAAATAAACATGCAATTAAATATATAAACCATGCAAATAAATATAAAATTAAATATATAATCATGCGATCACACAAATAAATAAATTAATAATCATGCAATTAAACATGCAATTAAATATATAATTATGCAAATAATAATATTAATAATCATGCAAATAAACATGCAATTAAATATATAATCATGCAAATAAAAATATATAAATCATGCAATCATGTAAATAATAATATATAAACCATGCAAAATATGTAATTAAATATATAATCATACAAATAAATATATTAATAATCAAGCAATTAAATATATTAATAATCATGCAATCAAATTAAATATAACATATAAATAAATATATTAATAATCATGCAAATATATTAATAAATTGCATAAATAAATCTATTAATCATGCAAACAAATATATTAGGCAAATAAATTATCATGCAAGTATAATATTAGTTATGCAAATTCATGTAAAAATAAATGCCATACAATAAATATAAAAACAAGAGTAAGCAATTAAACATTATAAAAATTATGCAAAAATCACAAAAAATAAAAATAAAAATAAAAATAAAAATAAAAACCAACATTACCTCAATGGAGTACGGGTTCCAATAATTTTACACCTTTCAAAAGCTAATGCTTCTTACTATAAATCTTAGCTTTCTTTCCAAAAACTCCAACTGAATTTTTTTACAAATTTTTTGCTTGATTACCTTTTCTTTGTTGATTCAAAACTTTGTCCAAATTTTCTCTTTTCATTAACTTCTATTTGATCTTTAAGTGAATTGCTTTGAGGCCCTCGTTTTGATCTTAGATTCAAGGTTTTTGAATTCTTTTCATTTTAAAAAAAATTAATTCAATTGAATATAAAATTTCTCTTCAAATTTTATTTTTTATATAATCTTTTATTTTTTAATATATTGAATCTCAAGTCTTTCCAAAATTATTCAACTAGTAAAGTTATAAAATTCAAAAGTTGTATTGAATTCAAACTTTCCATGCAAAATCACACATTTTTTTTAAATTTTTACCCTTTTTAAAATTTTTATACCAATTGATTTTGCCAAAAAAACGAAAAATTAAACTAAAAAAAATTATAAATAAAATTTAAGATTTAATCTTTGGGCTTAAAATTCATATTTCCAATTAAGACTTAATTGTATAATCAAAATCAAAATTCAAAATTTAATGAATTTAAAAAAATCTCCGGATCAAATGGAGTGTCTACATAGTAACCACAGCTTCATGAATAGATATAAAAGAAAATTTTGAATATCACAAGAATATTTTGTGCCACGCCGTATCTAATTTTCAAACGAGTTAGGTTCTTGTATCTTACAAACTGCATTATTCAAAGGAACTCTATGGTATAGGATGTTTAGCAACGTTGCAAAACATAAATAAATTTTAAATATCCAAACCATTGATGAATTGTGAAGATGTTTAAGCCCACCATGGAGCATCACCGGTTCTGAAATCTGTTTCGACCCAGGGAACAAAGACTACCTTCCCGTCATCAACATCAGCATGAGCCAATGCCAAGGACTGTTCCAACAAAGACGATAAAGCTGGTCATTAACTCATTATGAGGAAAGAATGATATAAAAACTAAACAAAATGATAGACAATATATTTCGAGAACAAAAATTTGGATGTGGAAACTTTTGACAACTAGACTAAGTGCATATTTGCTTTTCTTTGCCAATGAGTTCTGCACAATCATTAAAGTCCATCATGTTGAATTTACCTATTCTGTGATTCTTTTAATAAAGAAAAGCATCAAAGAGCAGGCACATGATATTTCCGTGTGATTATTGTCACAACCAAATTTACCTAAAGTTGAAAAGTGAAATAAATGAAATGTATATTTTTCGCTCTTAATATTACTCACCAGGGGGGCAGGTCCTCTCACAACTCTTCCTTGTTCGTTGTACTGAGATCCATGGCAGGGGCATATGAACTTGTTCTCAGCTTGATTCCATGGAACAACGCATCCAAGGTGAGTGCAGACAGCATTTATACCGTATGTTGCAAGAGTTCTGTCTTTCTCCACCACTAGGTAGGTGGGGTCTCCCTGAAAATTCATAAATAACCAAAATGTCTTTAAAAATCACATACTTCTTCACAATGTCTTGATATTAGATTGTCTGAAAAATGATCCCTTTTATATAACGAAAAATGATAAAATATAATTTTGCCATTGCATTTTTATATGCTTCCTCTGTAAGAGAACCATATACCTCTTAAAATATCTTAGCATATGACATTGGATATGCAATCAACATTACTAATGCAATTAGTAATCATTAAAGTTTTATCATGCCAGACATCAGCAATACGTAGAAAACCTCAACAGAAAAGAAGATTGAGCTCAATCAATTGCAAGCATAACACATCGTTGCAAAAGTCACCATTCACCACCAAAACCTTACATTGTAACTGCTTAAATAACAAAAAATTTCCAAGAAGAAATCAGAGCTCTTAGAGCTTTCAGGTTGAATGCTCTTGAGATGGTCTTCAACATTCAATTAGAACAAATTGTAATTAACATCCTATAATTACCTTCAATCCTTGAGTCAGGGTTCGGTCCCCAGGGCCATGAGTCTTAAGCCATTCAGCAGCAATGACATCATTTCCAATTGCATCCTTGGCAATGGTACCACTACCAGCACCTCCGCCCCTGTTATTGCATTTTAATAAAGGTTTAATACGAATAGAGATAGTGAGATCGCCTAGCAAGTCAAGGCAATCTTCTTTTATTTAGGAAAAAAAAGCCAGTGACATGGTCTATAATTTCATATTTGATGCTAATCAGTTGAATGGCTAAGTTCTCCAAAGTTTCAGAATATGCTCACAAATGATAAAACAACGGGTCAATTCTAAATTTACTATCAGAAAATTGGAGCTAGCTATAATGGGGAATCTGGTCCAAATAAACCGGGGGGCCATAACCACTATGGGAGGTCAATTAGGAGAAACACACTCGGTTAACTTATGGAAGAAACCAATTTTTTGGTTTACGCTCAAGCTATAGCACAATCATGTTGCTACAATGCTACTATCTTGAATTTAGCATATTTTCAAGGGAACTTAAGTAGATTTATCATTTCAAAAATTATAAACCAATAATAGTGACTTAAATTTGACTAACAAGTCATTTTTCCTACAAAATTCAATAAATCAGCTATGAGAATCAGATGAATAATCTATGGCCGCATTAATTACTACCCTCATTAGGAACTGAACAAAAAAAAGAGGAGGAGGAGAACTTACCCAGGTGGGACAAAAAAGGCTGCATAAGGAACCAACATGAAACCTGTGGGGAGTGAAACAGCCCCCAATAGAAGCAGATTCATGAGCTCCCTCTTGCCCATGTCTGGCACTCTATCAGCGGGGATGCTAGTGGCCTGGCAAGTGAGTCTCATACCCTTGTCCTTTTTAACCATCTCGGTCCTTGTTGGTTTCAAAAGAAAAGCTTGTGATGGGCAGAACATGACACTCTTGCTGAAGCATAGCTGTTAAAAACACACAAAATTTGAGTTAAAAAAGTTTCGAAGGAGTTTGCAAAGTAATTTAACCACCCAACAAGTGTTGGGATATACCTGCGAAGGAGATGAAGGGGAGAGACTTGAGGAAGCCATCATAGAGGAAAATGGGTGTACTTGTGAGACTGTTGGCGTGTGGTTTCCATCTGATATCATGGAACTGACCAAAGCTGTAACGACCACAACAGCAAGTAGATAAGGCACGTCGCGAGCTATGGTGCCACATAAGCCACATGTTTGTGGATTATGCTTCTCTCTCTTCGTTGCAAGTGGCTCATCCAAGTCTTGGGCGTAGTCCAAACTCTCAAAGATTCAAGAGTTTACTCACTCCAACGTCAATCAGGGTCGTCGTCCAACTAAATGGGCCGGACAAGTAGCTTAAGCTTCTCGATATTCTGTTTATATGAAATCCATCTTAGGTGGCTCAAAACTCAAGTAACGAGCATACATGTTCCGGATCCCCTTCTTTGTTGTGCTTTCATTGTACCGCCTAGATTTCATTCAATTTCAGCTTAGTTTATCTGTTTATTAATTAGTCATTTATAATTAAAAAAATTATCTAATATATTGTCAATATAAATTTTTAATTTTATAAACAAAATTAAAAGAACACATATCTCAAATTTTTAACTGTATATATATGGAGTAGAAAATTTTTATTGTCAGTGTTTGATAATCTCTCATATAACTTTATAAAATGGTACCGCTTTAAATAAGGAAGAATTGTTTCTGGGCAGTCTGATTAGTATATCATGGCTACGTTTCTGGGTTTATGAGCTTAGAATCAGTTCCACATAACGGACGGAAAAAAGGGCTGCCTCCTGGATGATCCTGATCTGCACGAATTTCAGGCCAAATGTTTGTGTCTAATGCGATATAATACTCCAATTAATTTCAGGCCGTTTGCTCCTTAGGATGATACGTTCACATTAGTCGTACATATATGTGCTGAATTTTTTCAGTACTGTTTAATTTTGTTTCTTGAAACAATGTATTATGCGACACTCATGTACCTAAACTTGAGCCACCACATCTTTTTTTCCTTGTTCTCTTTGGTTGGGATTTTTTTAGGAAAGGAAAATAGTTTATTCAAGTTTATGACTTAATATATTATATACAATTAATGAGTAAAAATATATTAATAATTATTTTGCGTAAATTTTCTTTAGTTTTAACCCGTTCCTTAAATAGAGGAATACATTAATCTTTATATTTTTCATATTTTTTTATCTTTTTTTTTTACTTTCAAAAAAGAATATTTCACGTACAAATTTTTTATTATAATTTTATAATTAATTAATTATAATAAATATGATCTTAAAAAAAACGAATTTCATTAAACCCATCAAACACAGATACAACATACAAATCCTTAAAAAAAAAAAAGAAAAGACTGAATACAAACGAGACCAACAGCTTAGTGGCTCAAAACTTCAAGTCTGTACAAAAGAATTAGAAACCATGAGGAGCAGCCATGTCATCCTTATTCAGAATCATAACCAAAGAGGAAGGATGTTGTCTTATCCAACCTGTGTGGCTGCAACCAATTCGGCTGCTTTATTTGCCAAGAGCTTGTTAGATAGAGAAAAATTATAATTAAACGGTTTGTAGTTGTTGTGGGAGTTGATGGATAGGATTGGGCTTGATAACAATTTCCAAGTGGACCATATAGTTGAGACTGGGCTAAATCTTGAAAGCTTTATACAGTCGAACCTGATCAAACTTAAGGTCCATTTTAGATTTTGAAAATTTTGAGTGGTTCAGCATATTGGGAGCAACTCTTGGCAGGCTTGTTTCAGTCTTTCAGACCTGGAATGAAGAATGATCACTTCCCAACCAAAATGTATTATTGTGCTCAAATACTGCTTGAATTGGATGCCCCTTAGAGCGCACACCTCGCTTATTCAAGAGAAGAATTGGATGCCTTTCCTTTCATTCTTAAAAAATATACCAGGTGGGGTAAGCTTGAGCTCCTAGTAATTAGCTCAATTAAATTAAATTCATTGGATTCCTTTCTATTATTAGCACAATAAAGGTGCTGAAACCCAAAGTTCTATGCTTAAATATCAAGCTATTCAAAATTTAAGCTCAATTTAAAAAGATTCAGTGCTCAAGATCACTTAATTTCACTTCTACATGTATACATATCTTGATCATCCAATATGATGCTTCAATTGCTTAATACATCAGCTTAATTTCATGATCTCTTCATCAATCATCGTAACTTGAAATACTCTTAAATATTAATTCCCACCGTCAAAATATTTTTTAGGAAAAAATTTTGTGAATTGTGAAACCTTTTGCACTCAGTAAGTGGTTAACTCCTATGAATGCCTCGCCCCCCTCGTTTGGTTGCAGGGAATGAGGGCTGGCACTGGCAATGTATTCCAAAGAAACAAAAATGTATAATTAATTGGTTTAGGTTTTTGATTTTGTCGCAATGTCGAAAAAAGGGCCACTTGGGGCGTTGTCTGCATTTTTAGTATTATAAACTGAGGAATACAATGATGGTGTTATCTGCATGGTGGTACGGCGTGAAACATGCGCTCATCATGTGACTGCATGTGTGTGTCCCTGTCTTTTCTTTCCCATTTTTTGCACTCTTCTCTTCTCTATACATTATCATTCCAAGCGTGCAAATTTTCCCCTCTGATCCCTCTTCTGCAGTTCTCATCCTCTTTTACAATTCCTCACTTAAAAAAACTCCCAAAGTTTTATATGTACAATGAATAATTATAATCAATTAAATCAATGTATATATAATGGAGAGAGAGAAAGCAAAAGCAAAAAAGGGTATTGGTCTTCCAATGAGTGGAAATGGGATTCTTTGGTCTTTCTTTTGTCTTTCTTTAGACTTTCTCTCGCACCGATGTAGAGAAAGGATAATCCATTGTTATCGTCAAAGAAGAAGAAGACACTCAAGAAGAAAAGTAAAAAAAAAAAAAATGATATAAATAAATGAATAAGAGGAGATGGAGCAATCTTGAAACAACCCTCAAGAAAATGGAACGTTCTTCAAAGGCATTTCGAAGTTATGAACTTTCAAAAAAGTTATTTGGCTTCTTCCAATATCTGTAGCTTTTTGTCTCTCAGCCACTATACATTTTTATTGACATGTAAATTTTAAACATACACAAAAATATTCAGACTAAAATTTTAATAAAAATTATAAATGAATTTGATAAAAATTAAAAATTATATTTTGTGTTTAGTTTATAAACATAAATTTGACATTATAATTTTTTGTGTTTGACAACACGATAAAAGATATATAAATTACCATATCTATTAATTTGTGAAACAAAACCCTGCATTTACACTACCCAAATTAGATTATTTTAACATCTAGCATTAGAGAGGATCTCATTTAATTAGCAATGAAAAATGAAAAAGAAGACTCATTTCTTAAGAAGAATCCTATGCAATACTGTGGTATATATGAATTACAGCGAGAAAGGATAAGAAAACAAGGGAACATAAGCAGAAGATGCGACAAAGTAATTATTTCATGCTACCTACCCTTTTAAAAGTTAGTATAAACTTAGTTAATTTGGGCATTCAAGAAATCAATCGGGCATTTGAGTATATAATGACCGCTGCTTTGGATTCCCTTAGAGATTTAGGGTTTCACAATTAAGTATGAAATCTAGAGTTACTTTGAAGTTAATGCCCAAAGGATGGAGTAAACATTTAAATTTATGAACATGTAGTTTAATATGTAGCCTGTGTATAGTTTACTATAATAAAACACTCTATATATATGGCTCAAATTTTAAGATATTTATCCAGATTTGTACCTTCTTTAAATTAATTGTACCAAGTGACAATTAGTTGTATGTATATAGTTTACTAATTCGTTTGTTAACACAAAATCAATTAGATAAAAAGTGCGATTACGTACTTTTTTTTTTTTTTTAACATAATAGATCAAACTATATAATGTTATTATTAATTTGGAATTGTCCTTGATTCAAAATTAAAAGGAGAAATTTGATAAATTAATTAGACTCTATTTTGGTAATCGCTTTTTACATTTTGTTAAAAAATGAATAGAAAAAAAAAAAAGTATAATTGCAACAAAAAAACCTAAAGGTAAAAAACAAAAAAATATATTTATCAAACCGAGCCCAGTAAACTAGAGATTGTAACATTGCTACATACACTTTTTTATAAAAAAAAAAATTGCATTTTTAAAAATTAAAATATATTAAAAATATTAAAATTTGAATCTTAAATTGAACAAAATTCATTGCTACAAACATTTCCAAAATAATAATTTGAAATTTTTAATTATACACAAGATTGAAGGTATATAGTTCCTTTCCAAAAAAAAAAAAAAAAAAAGAACAAGGTATATAGCCGATGATTTTATGAAAATGACTATAGAAATTGAAGACCAACTACATATTTATTATCATATTAGAATGACCAAAGTAATTGAAGACCAACTACATATTTATTATCATACGCTCATCACATATGTTCTTTGTTTCTTGGCTTAAAAAATTAAATTTCATGAATACATTTACAACCGTATAACCAACGTGCTTAATTAATAGGAACTATAATGGAGCGTTAAATCATACCTAATAATTGGATTGTCAACCAATTATTAAAATTTGCAGGCTAATTATCAAATAAAATTTGGGGCCTACTTATCAAATAATTAGCACACACCTATTTACAAAGACAATTTGCCAAAGACAATTGCTTTATATTCTCTATCCCTCCCCGCCCCCAAGGTAGGATCTCAACCATCAATTCCATATAAGTTTTCAAAGAACAATTGAGATCTTTCCCCTGGTATGGCTCCTTTTGCAGTTGTGACTAATTTGCAGGCAGTATTAATATATCTGCTCCAATAGTAGCTCCTTAATAAAATGTAGATAAAAGAAACAAGCTCCATGTGGGTTTCAAGCACTAAAAGCATGAGTCAAAGTAGTTAAATAGATTGGTATATAATTTCAAAAGTAGGTGCATTTGAGAGTCTTGTTGGAACCCTTTATCTCACTTAAAAATGACCATATAATATTTCATTGTTTGGTCTGTAGAGTTAGACTATTTGTCCTGTGTTCCCATTAGCTTTGGGTTGAGACATCCAGATTGAAGCAGGACAAAAAAAAAAAAAAGGACCGATAGTTTTTGTTTATAATAAGGAACAAAACAGTTATAAGAAGCTTTTTATTTAGAAATTTCTTTAGGACTTTTCTCTATTGGAGAGATGTAGAATTAAATCTTTTAAATTTTTAATTATATAAATTTGAAACTTAACTAAATTAATTTAGGATATAGCTCTTTTTATAGTCACTTTTAAAAAATTTAGAATTTAAATACCTAACACTTATAATTTTTTTTTTATTTCAAGTTGTATCCTCTTATATACCAAAAAAAAAAAAATCTAATTATAAAATCAAGGTTTATTTTACATCCTGATAAGTGAAGCATAGGAAAATCATTGCTTTAGTAATAGGCAAGCCATAAGATTCGTACAAACTGTAAATTTCAGATGTGAATGACTTATTCCAAGGACTTTATTCTAAAGTTCTTCTTCTTAAAAAAAAAAAATGGTCCCATTCTCTGATATAAGTTTTGGGGAAACAATAAAAGAGAGAAGTATCCTGTTGAAAGGGAAGTGGCCCTGATTTATGCCCTCACCTTAATGAGTCAATGACATGGATATTAGTGACAATTTTAGCTGTAGGCCCACAATAAAACATCAAGAAAACATGATTTAATGAATTTTAGTAACCATTAGTCCTTAGAAAACATTTTAGCATGAGCACGTTTTCGTATAAATCCTTAACTAGTTTTGAGTTTTAAGCGTAAAAGGGTTATACCTGTAGCTGGTCTATCCCATGCCTACCCGCCCTTTCTCTCGTCATATGTAAAGGAATTTAAGGCACATGATATGAGTTCAGTTTAGAAAAATTTAATACATGACATCCTCTTATTTGACTTCCAACAATTCTAATTGATTAAAAAAAGAGTTAGTTAGACGTCTCGCATCTAAACTTGAGGGAAATTAACAAATTGATATTTAGAGAAAAATATATCCAATTTATAATTTGACTCTTAAATTAAGTATCATATTAATCCAAACAAAATTAATACAATTATGGGTATTCTTAGCTTTTATCGGGTCTAATCCCTATTCCAAACAATTTTAAGATTGCACTCCTCTCCATTGATCTTGTACATTCAAGATTTTATTACTGAAAATTTTCACAAAGATGAACTTTGGTTGATAAGTAAAGTGAACTTCTCATTTTACCAACTAAATTAAACTAATACTTGTGAAAACATTAATTCAAATTTAACGTTATGATTAACCTACTGAACAAATATAATACATCACAAAATTATGATAATTTTTAACACAAATTATATTTTTTCAAATTTTCCAAAATTAATCAATTATTGGAGGTCACTCGGCATTCATAATTATATGGTATTCATATGAAATTTTTACAAAATGTTTAAATAGCATATGACATCCATTTGATATAATTTACACTGATTAGATATTATATAAATAAATTAAGTTAATATAATTTATTATTTGAAAGTTTAAGGTACAAATTATTTACATATACCAATTTGTACATATTATCAGTAACAGAAGTGTAAACTCGTTAACAAACCTTTTATGCAGACTTTGGAGTACTAATCATAGTCATACAAAATTTCATTTTTTGTCCCACTGAGTGTCTCGTACAAATTTTCTTTGACAGTCTCTTACTCTTTTCTACTAGCAAAGAGAGTGGCAAAGTGCATTCAACACAAGGACATAAAATTAACCAAAGCTGTCCACGAGTCACAAGTCGCCTGGTAAAAGTTGCTCCCATGGTAATTACCAAAAGTAATTATTGCATGGTAATGTTTGGAGCTGGTTTAATTGCATATAGGAATGGTGGGAGGTGAAATATTAGAAGATTTCACCTGGAGTTGTTACCGGTTTGGTGCAAGAAGGGAAACAAAATCCAAAACTTGTCACTGTTCGTCCATTTTAAAAATTGCTTGGGCGAAGATTTGGAGGTCTACCTGGTTGCCGATGCTTGATATATAGATTATATTTATGGAAATGGTTATAGACCAATGGAACATATATCATGGAACTGTGTCTTTTCCTTTGTCCTGGAAAATTAAAGATGCCATTGGTTCAATATCTTTTAATTAATTAGGAATGCATATAAATTTTCTCCTTATTTTTTGTTGGATTAATCCATTCTTGACATTCAATTATAAGTAGGTGATTTCTATCTTCTGCAATTGGCCTAGCTGAATTCATTTTCCCATCTGCTCTTTTTTTCTGGTAACCTCTACCTAATTAGGTGAAAAAGTTTAAACAGAAAATTGGAGCAGTTGCATCAATATTAATTTTCAGCAGAATATACCTGAACAGGTAGCGACTTTGAAGTAAAATGTTTTCTGGTTCATGCAAGTTTAGATTGAGAGAAGAGCTTTTCCATTTCAGAGTTAAGGTAGACTATAAGTTTTAGTGGAAGATTTGTATTAAATTTATAAATCATTCACCAAAAAAGACGTTTGACAGTAAGATTTGAATTTAGATCTTATAAATGAAATATTCAAATCTTATCAATTCAACTAATCTCACTAGCTGAAGTAAAAATTTTAACTCTATTTAGTACTCTTATAGCTCTTCAAACCTTCATTTGGAATCCTTAAACCATCCATATGTTACTGTAATTTATTAATAAATTATACTAGTCGGTTTTGTTTAATGAATTAAGAAAATCATTCAAGATATATAAATCAATAATCACTGAACTACTTTTTGTTCAAATTAGAATTTTAAGAAATTAAACCAAATTCTACAGTAGTTGAAGGAGTCACATTCTACTTTAGAATCACTGAACTTTTATGATTTTTCTGAAGGCTTTAGCTAAACAACTTTTTGAATCTGTCAATTTACTTTGGTCGTTGTCCTAAAAGAAAGAGTTAATTTAATTGTATCTCAGCAAGATTTCTATCAAACAGATAATGCAAAGTTCACTGAAAAGTACTAATGAATCCATCCCACAACATCCTCCTTAACAAGGAAAACAATGATTTGTTAAAACTTTTTCTGCACTGTCTTCTCTTCCGAGTATATATATATATAGGCCTAGAAATATGCGTATTTTATGTTTAACTTCACTGAATATAGTTTATACTTCTTTAATTTTATGTAATTCCCTTACTATGAAAGTGTCATCACCAAATTTTGTTGGAACTGGAGTTAATTGTCTTGGAAATTTGTTCTTTTGCAGAAAATAAGCTAGCATCTTTTGAAATGTATTAATTTCTCAAAACAAGTATTGTTAAAATGGTTTAAATTTGTCCATCTCTTGGATAGTAATTACTCTTCCACAAGTTTGTTGATCACTTAGCAGGGTTGTTTCCATGTGAACAATGAAATAAATGGTGTAGTAACTTCTAACGGGAAAATACAATGGGGAATTGATAGCCAAATTAGCCATATAAAAGCAAACATTTAATCTAAAATCAATTGATAATACAAGTCATCACTATAGGTGAAAATAAAAACTTATTATGTGATAAATTTGAAAGAGGTAATAGATAAAAATAACGGACAAAAACAACAAAACAAATTTTAAATTTTAATATCATGTTACACATATTTAAAATTTTAATATCATATTAAATATTTAATTTAAAATCTTAAAGAACTTAAATATGAAATAACAAAAAACTGGATACTTATTAGCAGAGATAAGGTAACACCATTTTAATGCTCTATTTATAAGCAGTTTGTAAATAAACAAACTAAAAAGAGTAAAACCTTCCGGGGAACATAATCAAAGTCTAACCATCATATTGTAAAGAACATAAAGACTAGCAATGAATTGAAAATACAGTGATTGATGATTGCCATAAGACCCTGAATCGTGGAAGGTCAAAAGTAAAAAAAGTTGAGAATGAGTGAATGACGAATTTGGACCCGCCATTTTTTGATTCACCGAATGATCTTCTACTGACATCTACCCTCAAACCTTACACAAAGTTCCTGACCTTATCTAAGCACTCCCCTTTTTCCCCCACTTAAGAAGTTTTTGCTTACCTTCTAAAAAGAGAGAGAGAAGAGAACAGATGTCAATAAAAACACTATATAAGATATAGCAGCAAAGTAGTGAATTTCCAAAGACTTCACCCCCCATCTTTGATCTTTTGAGAAAGAAAGAAAGAAAAGAAATAGTAAAGTCTCTCCCTCCATTTCTCTCTCTGTCTCTCTCTCCTTGCTCGTTTTATCATCATTGCACTTCTCTTTTAACAATGTACATAGAGATAGCTGCGCTCTCTCTTCAACGCCACTAAGCTGACCTTTTAACACATTATCATCAATTGATGGAGTTCGATCTAGAAAACCCATTAACAAACTTCAATGACTTCTGCCCTGCTACTACTATCCCTTCCCTCTTCCTAGTTGAATCTGATCATATGCCCACAGAGAATTACATAAAGACTCTCAAAGCTAGAGATCTTGACATTTCCCTCAGACGAGAAGTTATCTCTTCAATCTCGCAGGTAAGTAACTAACGAACTTACTTCCTGAGAAGAAAGAGTTAAACTGTGTTAATTTCGGTTATGCTTATGCATAGATGCTGAATTTGCTTTTATGCTTCAGTTTTCTTGCAAATTCGATCCCTTTCTATCATATCTTGCTGTCAATTATCTCGATCGATTCTTATCAAGCCAAGGAATACCGGTAATGACTCCTTAGCCTCGTTCACAACATTTATCCAGTTCATAGAACTGCAAAACTAACAAAGATATGGCCAATCTTTGATCCCGCAGCAACCTAAGACATGGGTTTTGAGACTTGTTGCAATCTCTTGCGTCTCTTTAGCTGCCAAGATGAAGAAAACAGAGTTCTCTCTTGCCGACTTACAGGTAAAATTCGCATAGACGTACAGACGTAGACAGCTGTAACATTGCCAAAGAGAAATTTTATATGGTAGAGTAGGCCTTATTTAAATCTTTTTCTGTGGAATATTATATGTATAGAGCAATGGAGGTTTCATATTTGACGCACAAACAGTAGAGCGAATGGAATACCTAATCTTGGGAGCACTGAAATGGCGAATGCGTTCAATTACTCCGTTCTCTTTCATCTCCTTTTTCATTTCATCGTTCGAGCTCAAAGACCCTCCATTAAGGCATGCCCTCAAAACTCGAGCTGTTGAGATCATATTCAAAGCTCAAATGGGTAGGTCTACTTCACTGAAAATGCCAAGAATACTTACATGCATCTACCACCACTTTACTTTAATTTCCTTATCTCAAAACTCACAAAAACAGTTTCCCTTTTTTTTTCTTGTAATAACAGATCATATAAAGCTTTTAGAGTTCAAGCCATCAATAATTGCTGCATCCGCACTTCTCTCTGCCTCCCATGAACTTTTTCCCTTGCAATTCCCCTGCTTTAGAAAAGCAATTTCCAGCTGTTCATATGTAAATAAGGTAATCTGATGTTCTTTACTTTTTCTCTCCATTTAACATTTACCACGCATTAAAAACCAACAAACATATTATTTTAATTTCGTATTTTTTAAATAAAGGCAGTACAATTGAACATCTAATTTATTAGTGTTTGCTATATGTGGTAATAATTTGGCTGCAGGAAAACATGTTCAAATGCTACAATTCGATGCAAGAGACAGCGAAGGAGGGATATGAATCAATGTTTGATATGTTTAGGAGCTCCAACACGCCCGTCAACGTGCTTGACCAGAAATTTTCATGGTCAGAAAGTGAAACAACCAATGGCATCGTTACAACCGCCACCACCATTACTCTGAGAACAGAGAGAGACATCAAGAGAAGAAAAAGTAATGATTACCGGAACAAATCAAACGGTCCACCTTTCTCAGGTCCAACACTGTTGATGACAGTGGATCACAAGTTTTCATCAACGGTCCACCTCTCTTTCCAATAACGAAACAAAAGAAAGAAAAAAAAAAAAACAAAGGAAAATGAGAAATGGGTGCCAGAGATGATGTTTCGTACATAGCTAGCCCAATCACTGCTAGGCTATTTCGTGACTTGTTATGGCCAATCCACCGATCTCTTTCTTTGCTAGAGCTGAAGACAGGAAACCCGAAGAGAATTTTGTTTCCTGTTGTTCTTTTCTTTTCCTTTAGGTACCAAACAAAGACAAAACGTTAACTTTGAATTGTAGGGTTGGATTTTTGTATGTCTGTTTGGTGTAACCGTGGTTGTGTCTCTTATTTTCTGGCAAAAGAATAATAGTGACAGTACTAATACACCAATATAAATAATATATTCTTGGTAAACGAAAATGGAAAAATTTTTTCACTTCTTGTTTTAATACTTGACTGCTGGATCAACACAGGCTACAATTTGAACTTTAAATTGTTTTTTTTTTTTAAACATTTTATACCAAACTGTAGACTGAAACTTCTTTTTAAAATCAAATTTAAAATTTTGACATGGTAGCAATGGGTGAATAATGAATATTATTTACAGGTATTTTCTATATAGTATAATCAATTTGAGCAACAGAAGTTAATGAAGTATTATGCACAAAAGTCGTGACACATAATATTTTATGCACTATTTGTCTTTTGATTACTCACTCGTCCAAAATTTCACTTTTTCTGCATTTCATAGGTAAAAGAGTAGTATTAAAATTCACTTTTTTTAGCTAAATCTTATTTGTAAGTATTGCATGACTTAAAATTTTAGATTCAAGTCTCATTATGTATATAAATTTGATTTTTAGTTAAAATTATAGTTTATTAATTGATTATTAAGTAAATTTATCAACTTCAGAGATATCATAAAACTAAATAAAAAAAATCATATATATGTTTTAAAAAATGTGTACCATGTTTATTCGTGTCAACATGAATTTCAATATGACTTAATTTGTGTTTTATATATGTTGATATGTCTAAACACGTATAAGATATGAAAATTACGTGTAAATAAAACGTGTTACATAGATATACATTTAATGAAAAATATATTTAATTTAATCGCGTCACACGGGTACACATTTAACATATCTAATATGTTTAACACATTTATTATATTTATTTTAATTTAGTATAAATATATAAAGATTATTTTAATTTTTAATCTTTTAATTATGATACCTATCTAGCTACTCAACACCATAAAAAATTATTTTAAACTTTTAATTATAATATTCATTTAATAATTATTATAAAATAATTTTTATATTAATAATATAAATACAATATAAATAACAATATTAGTACAATACATCATTATTTAATTCTTTAATCTTTAGTAATTTGTCATTTTAGGTTTGGTACTAAAAACCAATATAGTTATGTATACATTTATGATTGTTACAATAGTAATGTATATATAAAAATTTAAGTATATATATATATTAAATGCATATTAAATGGTGATCAAATTTTTTTTTTATACTTTTTAATATGCAAGTATTTTTTTTATTAAAAATATATTAAAAAAAATTGAAAAGGACAATGTATACTTAATTGTTAATAACAAGTAAGATCCAGCATTATGGTCATTAATCAAGCAACGCAAATCTAAATCACATGAATAAACAATAATATATTATAATAATACTAAATAATATTTGTAATGATAAAAAACTATATGATCATCTTAACAACATGAATCATAATATGTGATTATTTTAAATCATAAGAGTTAAAATAAGAGATTATACATTTGAAATTAAAAATAATACATATTTTAAATAATATGTATAATGATAAAAATTATATAATTTATTTTATATTACATAATACGATATTATTGAAACGTAACTTATAAATTATTAATGTAAATACATATCTCAATAACCTATTTTAAATATTTTATTCTAAATCACATGATAAGAAATTATATATTTGAAATTAAACATAACATATTTCTTTTAAATAACATTTTATAATGATAAGATATTATAAAATTTATATTTCTATATGACATGATAAGGTATTATTATAATGTAATGTATATACTCATCTTAATAACTTGTTTTATATACTTTATTCTAAAATCTAAATCACATTATATGATACCCATATTAATTATAAGAGATTATATAATTTATTCTAAATCATATGTATATGAATATAACCATGATAATTAAAATATGTAGTTTATTTTAATCATATTTGTAGACAACTAATTTTGTCTAGGTCAATTCAAGTTTAGTCGATTTTTTTGCTGATCTTAAAATTTCAATTTGGGCTAATTTAAGCATTTTAATTGGATTATTTGATCAAGTTCGTTTGGGATTTATTTTGAATCAATCAATTTTGTAAGATCATTTTGCACAAATCGAGCCTTGTTCAATTTAACTTGGTTAGATTTAAGATCAAGTCATGTAGGCTTGATCCAAGCCCAAAGTCTAAGCCAAATCTAATTTTGAAAGCCCAATAGAAGTCTAAGATCATTAAAAAGCCTAGTTGCAAATCCAAATTCAATTTTAAGAGCTAATTTCATTTTATTAGGATTAATTAATTTAATTAATTGAAATATTAAAAAAATGATGAAATGAATTTTTTTAAAAAATGTCTATCATTATTTAGCTTTTCCAAGCTCCTAGAACCTCTTGCTCTCAAATTACTAGCCCTATTCTTATCTTTCCTTTTTTCACTCCCTTTTTAGCCCCTGGTTTCCTAACACCAATTCTTAAAACATTTCAATCTCCCAAATTCATCAAGCTCCTCTGCCCCATGTTAGCAATAATCTAAAAAATCTAGTTCTTTGGCATCTTTTATTATAAAGCTAACTCTAGAAGGATTGAAAACAAAATTCACATTGGGGAGAAGGGAAGGAGTTAGAAGCTAAAAAAGAAAAAAATTGACCACCCAAACTACCACCAAAAGCAGCCCTAATCCATTCAGCCCTAGTGGAGCATCCGTAATCATCCACAACTCACCATTTTCACAGTCCCAAATTACCATAAACTAAACCCAAAATCTCCCACAAAATAGCCTATCATCGACTTTCCAAGTTGCCAACACCAACCGATCAAACTACCTAGAAAACTTGCCAATCTCGTCATTGAACACTACCACTCAAGCCACTATGAAAGCCCCTTTTAATCCTATTATGCCTTCACCTATGCTACTAGCCAACCTTTTCCATCGTAACTAAAACCCCACAAAAAAAAAAAACACAAAAAATACAAAAAAAACCCAGCAAACATTAAAAAAAAACACAAAAAACTCATCCCTTGAAACGGGGAACTATAATGCCAAAAAGCAAAAAAAGAAAAAAATTAACACAAGCAAGAAAAAAAAAAGAAAGAAGAAGAAAGTTTTTGATTTGGGGGATTCTAGGGTTTTTAGAGTTTGAGACTTGGAGGAAATGAAGGTTAAAGGAAGAAGAGCAGCATAGTTAAAAATAGTGGGATTTGGTGAGATGAAAATAGTCTTTTTTCATGTTGAAGTTGAGATTTTTTGTCTAAATCTAGCAAAATTTGAGAGTTTTTAGGAAAAACTGGTTGGAGAATGGTGAAAAAGATGAAAAATAAAAAGCTAAGGGATGAATTTTGGGAAAAGTATGGCACTAATGAGTGACGGTCGGTAACTGGCAGTCAGTGGCTGGCATGATGGTTTTTGGCAAATGACATTAGTTTTTGGAAACAAAGGGTGGTTGAGGTTTTACATTTTTTAAAGCTTTTTGCAGGTTTTTTTAAGAAGACTATTGAAAATTATTTTAGAAAAAAAAAATGTTATATATATATATGTTGTTGTCATAATGTTCAAGTTCGAGAACCTGCTTATTAGATACAAAAATCATAGAGTCACCATCAATATTTTTTATCTAATTATGATTGACTATTTTATGTGAATCTATCCTTTTTAATGTTGTCCTAAGTGTAAACAAGGGTCTTTAAAATAAAATAGCTTCTGATCTACATAATTAGAAATAAGTTTGAAATTGGTTACGTTCAAATAAGATTTTAACACCCTATTAAACTAAAAATTGGTAACAAATTAATCATATATTATCTTACCTAAGCCGTAATCAAAGATGGTATTTTATTATGCAAATAAATCAATTCCATTCTTTTTATTTATTTACACATCTTTATCATACACAATTTTTATTAAGATTATCAGGCAATCATATCAATATAAAAATCATACTAAAAATCATGGAAGGATATCATGCAATAAATCACTTAAATACCAACATTTTAAAATATCATGCAAATAAATATTTAATAAGCCATACAACTATTAATCATGCAAAAATATTAAAATCATACAAATAACAAATAATGCAAATAGATAATAAATCATGCAAATATATTAATAATCGAGAAAATAATAATTAATCATGCAAAAACATAAAAATTCATACCAAGTTTTTTTCTTTTTCTTTTCTTCATAAGAAAATATAAAAAGGAAAATATAAGAAAAATAGAAACAAAATTAAAAAAAAAACTAGAAAATAAAACCAGAAAAATGGAAAATAAATAAAAATAGAAAATAGAAATAAAAAATAAAGATCTTTGATTGGATTGGGTTTGAGCTGGTCAACACGCGGGTCTCCTTGGGTTTTCATGCAGGTCAAAGCTTTGCAAAAAAGGTAGCATTTAGGCTTGGCTATAAAAGCCTAAATCCAAACTTTTTCTTCAAATCAAACTTCTCATCTCTTTCTCGAGGTTAGTTTTCTCTCCTTTCTTTCTAAAAGGTCTCGATCAAAAAATTCAACTAGCTAACCCAAACTTAGATTTTGACCATCGTGAATTACTCTAGCCACCATGAAAACCACTGGAAACTTCAAACTTTACTAGAGAATTCAAGCCCCAAACGTAGAAAATTTCCAAAATTCAACCAAAATTTCAAAAATTCTAAAAAAAAACTAAAATTTCAAAAGTCCCTAGAAATTCAAAGCATAAGCCTAGAAATTCAACAATTCCAATCCTAAATTAAACATAACCCAAAATCAAACAACTTTCCACCAAATCAAACCAATATCTCAAAATTAAAATTTC